TTTTTCTCTTTTTTTCTCTCTCGTTCTCTCTCTCTCTCTCTCTCTCTCTCTCTTTTTCTCGTTTCGAATTCGTTCGCGCGCGTCGAAGCTTCTCGACCGGGGAACTCGAATCTGTTAGTCGGCCGACGTCGACGAGTCGATTAGTCGCTGGAGCACGCTTGCGAATGAAAAACGGCGGCTCCTCGAGACGAATCGACTCGTCGGAAACGATGTTCCCGGTGGTAACAGGTCCGAGTTTCACGATCTTCCCGGCGCCGGTCGAAAGTTTCGAATCGCTCGATGTTGATTCGATGTCGTTTCGAACGAGAGAATCGATGTTGTCGCGTTGAATCGTTTTACGAGATCATTGTAGAACGAATTTAAAGAATTGCTTTGCGAGCATTGAAACGGCTGCGTTTGTCCACGACGAAAACAGACCCCAAAAGTTCCTTCCGAGCGCCGTTTTTGTTTCTTTACGCTTATTCGTCGCCCGTTATGATTTTGCGACCGTGCTCTCGAATTCTTTTCGTTCCCCTTTTTATGCCGCGCGTCACCGACTCGTTCAGCTATGCCGAGAAAAGCAACCTGTGAGAAAGACGAACGATTAAATCGACGAACAGACGAATAAATCGATGAACAAGTGAACGAATGAATGAGCAAATACGAAAAGAAACGTGCGAAACGAATGCCAAACTCGCGGGTATATATATATATACATACATATATGTACATATATACGCCTCTAACTCGAGAACACGACATATCGGTGTAAAGAAACGAATCTGCGCGCGCACCGAGCCACTCGTACCAGCACGACCGACCCGTTAATCGGTCACTATGCTACGATACGCAGTCGGTATCGCTCGTTAGTCTCCTGAACGATCCGGAGAATGGTTCGTTAGCGATCGCCGCTAACAGAAACGAGCATTGCTCGCACTACCCGTGATTCTTCACGGTTGACGCTGTCCGGCGCCTCCCCCTTTGCCGTCGGACATCTTGGAAACGATCGGGATCTGGCTGACTCTTTCGAATTTCCCCTGAGAAACCGTGATATTCAATGGACAACCGAAATCAACGACACTGTCAGAACTATTGAAACATTTTTTTAAATTTCTATCATTCGAATTTGTATTTTCTTTTAAAAATTGAAATCCAAAGTCACTTATCTTTCATATCAGACTTAAGTCGATTTAACGACTTCTCAATAAAGTCCTAGCTTTTCAACAATTGAAAAGCGGAAATTAGGAACGGGTTATTTTGAGCTATTTGGCAATTAGAACATTCAAATTTCTTTGCTGCGAGACACGGATTATTGAATCCTCAATCTTCGATTACCTTTCTTCGAGTATTATTTCAAGCAACTATCAGCTTTTAACGAACATCGAAATTTGCTAATCTGAGTCCATTTCCCGTGGAAATGTCGCGCGAGATCCAATGATCGATCGAGGATCGGTTGACGGTGCAGCACCGAGGAAAATAATTATCGGGCTTCCGTCGATCCCAGGTTCGAGAGCTCGAAGCCAGCCCCCGAGCGTCCATTCGAGGGTGTCGTCGTGCATGCTCACGTCACGGGTCACCGGCCACCGGGCGGAATTTTTAATTACTCCGCGTCGTATCCAATTTTTTGGTCAACTAATCATGGAAGGGAAAAAAAGCCGTGGCCCCGTGGTGGACCGCTTCAGTGGTCCGTGACGCGAGCCCGAACAGCCCGAAATAATTCTAGCGAAATAATTCGGGGTACGTCGATTTCTGCGACACGGTGGATCCCCGTGACGAGAACGGGACGGGTTCGTCGCTCGACATTTCTGTTCGATGACACCATGTAAAGTTCGCCGAGAAACTCTAACGATAACCATACATAAACTGCGGATTTTCCTGCACTCCTAGGAAATCTGATAGAAAATTTGTGCTACATAAAACATCCAAAGTTGAAAATTCAAATTCTCAGGAAGATCCGCAGTCTAATAGGTATCTGCATGGTTTTCTTGCAATGCTATTGATATTCGCCGATTGCACTAACCGTGAATTTTTACATGAAGTAACAAGGCAATAGGCCACGATAACCCTTTGCGCTCGACAGAATAACGAACTCTTCCATTAACCTCTGTACAACCCATCCATACGAGAAACAGAAATAAAACACCTTCGTTCCTCGATTCACGTATACTTGCCAATACTTAGTTGCAACGACTGTCGTTGAAATCTCACCAGAAGACGTTTAGCATTTCCACCGTGAAACTGTCGAGTGCAAAGGATCGATACGAACCCGTGAACGATGAAACGGATTTTCTCCGTTCGATCCACCCGTCGCGAGTGGCGCTCGTTCGCCGGACAGCGTCAACGAGTCGCGCACCGTTGTGCAACCTTATCTCTGCGATCATGATGTGATCGTAGAACGTAGAATTAAGCGAGACGATGGTAATGTGGAATAATCAGAACCGATTCCGACAGGATTGTCGAAGGGGGTCGGTTTCATAAGGTTCGACCAGCGGATCGAGGCCGAGAAGGCGATCCAAGAGTTAAACGGTACCGTTCCGAAGGGCTCGTCCGACCCGATCACCGTCAAGTTCGCCAACAATCCGAGCAACAACAACAAGGCGATACCGCCGTTGACCGCCTATCTGGCACCGCAGGCGACCCGACGATTCGGCGGCCCGATCCACCATCCAACCGGCCGCTTCAGGTACATTCCACTGTCGCCACTATCCAGGTACCTACTCGCCTCTACTCGCTCTACCCAGAAATCTCTCTTCTAACTTCTTCTACTTCTACTTCTCTTTACTTCTTTACTTCTTTACTTCTTCTTCTTCTTCTCTTTTTTCACTGATTTTCTATCTCTTCGAATCTCTTTCTGTATTCTCTTTGTATCTCGTCTATCTTGTCTCATGATCTTTCTTTCCGTTTACTTATCCCCGTTTCCGTTCGAGACACCCCGTTATTTTCCCCCGATTCGCGTTGCGTTTGTCGTCGATAACGGACGTGTTCCCTTTCGTTTGACGCGCCGGTTATGATCGATCGATCGGTCGGTGGTTTTGAAGTTGGGTTTTTAACCTGTCTTTATCCCTTGTTCCTTTTCGTCGGTGGTTCCTTTGATTTCGTTTTCCGGGGTTCGGGATCGGTCGATCGGTTAGATCGTCGCTCGATTTCGCTGTAGGCATTCTGCTGCGCCTCATCGGGTACTGGAGGGTTCTTTCTATTCACTTTCTAGTTTCTATTGTGTATTTTTTACTTTTTTTCTCTTTCTATCGGTTCGAATCGTGATTTCCAAATATGCTTTCGATCTTTCCCGCCGGAAGTTTCACTTTGTTCTCTTTTTTCATTGATCCTCGAGGAATCTTTTCTCGCTCGAAATTGTTACTGTTTTTCTTGTATGAAGTTTACGTGACTGGTGCTACGAAGGTAAAATAACATTTCCTTTTCTCTTCTCTTGGGTTAATGATAACGAGAAAGATCTCTGATACGTTAACACGGGAATCGAAAGCATCGAAAATCAAAGAACGTTTGCCAGTTGCGTACAGTGTTAAATACTACGAAAACCAATTAACCCTTTTCACTCGAAACATGTTCCCCCACGGGTATTCCCTAATTTTCAACGAAGATAAAGGCAAACCGTTGAATCGTTCGTCCCGTTGAATAGAAATAACGCACGACTCAGTGGACAGAACCGTTTCATTTCAGTATGTCGTGCTTAATTACGTTACACGAGATATGATATCGAACGCTGAATTTCATTATCGAAGTATACGGTGACTACGAGTTGCCTCTCGAGTGCAAAGGGTTGAACGTTGTTTCCCGTCGCGTGATCGATGTCGACTTCGCGGAATAATCGCGCCGGGGAGAAAAGGCCGGGAAACGGTGAAATAATGAAGGGAAAAATGAGATGCAGGTCCCAGAACAGGTGCAACGGTCAGCCGGGTCTCGTCCGACCGGGTAGAAGCCTCTCAACGGCCGACACGAGAACGCACGATCGATGTATCGAGTATTTTCGAGGAACGGCGACACGCGGCGCGCGCGTGCGACGACTTCGATCGCGATCAAAGGTCGCGATAACGCTCGCGAAACTCGAACGCGCCGCCACGTTTTATTTTTATCCACCCCCGTGTGGCGGTCGTGTCTCGCCAGTCGATATCTCGAACGTCTGACCTTTCTTTCGTTATCGTGCGACGCGCCCAAGGCCGGTTTCCTCTCGATCCGCCGCGAGATTCTCTTATTATTTTGCCGGGTGTGCAGGATGTGAATTGTGGTTCGCAAACCTACTTAATTCAGTCGATTATGTTCGCTCTTATTCTCTCTCTTCGTCGCGAACAAAAGGAAGAGTTAATCATTCGCGAATGAGCACCGTAAAAATGGCGGCTTCAAGCTTCTAACTATATTTTTATTATTTCTTGTTCCATCGTGATGAGCAAACAGAAGTTTTAACGGTTTACAAATGAGTTACGCAAAGATGGCGACTTGAAACTTCTAACTATATTTTTATTATTATTTTTTGTTCCATCGTGATTAACAAATGGAAGTTTCAACCGTTTACAACTGAGTCGCGCGAAGATGGCGACACAGAACTTCGATGTTTAATTATCTCTTTATTTCGTTGATTTATTCCTTGTTTCTTATCGAACAAATGGGAGTCTGAACTTCCGAAGTTTTCCGTTGATTAAGTAAACTAGAAATGGATTTCGTTTGATCTTGTATTCTATTTACTTTTCATCGTGATACCGAGACGCGTTTGATTACTATTATCGGGACACCCCGTGTACACTGGATGTTTCCACGAGGTTGAACGCGAAGCCTTACGAAACCTATTACACTCGCTTCCCGATGAATTATGTTCTGGGAACGAAGTGTCGGTGCCACGATTTTCGGGACAGCCTGTACACCTGTACGGATTATATTTTACCATCCGTTTCCTGTCAGTGTGTTCCTGGAATCCTCTCCTCTCCAAGCCAGCAACGAGTGGTACAAGGTGGTCTCTAAACTAGATACCGATTGGCAGACCGCGAATCTTCACGCACTTTAGTAACTATCGAATCAGTTTCTACATTGCCAACCGAGAAACTATACTATCAATTTTATTAATTCAAAGAATCCAATAGCATAGAAGTAACATTAAATTCTGCGAACAAGGATCTTTTGTATTTCGCTGAAGATCCGCGGTCTGCCAGTCAATTAGAGTTAGACAAGTGTATAAATCTACCTTTAGATAAGTGTGAGTGGTCGATCGCGCGACGGAATCACGTTCGTTCCGTGAAAGACTGATCCTTGACCACTCTAGAGCTCGCGTAACGATTCGTTGAGTTTGATTTTCAGTCTAGCCCGGTAATCTTCGGAATCGTTCGACTCGAACAGTCGACGGAATCGATTTTTCGGGAATAACGTCGCTCTCCGTTTCATTTCTAACGCGCGTTTCCATCGAACGGTCGATGAAAATAGACGCGAGGAAGACGAGACAGTGGTTGGTATCGGAAGATTATCAAGTAGAATCGATAGAATCGAGAGATCGATGAAAACGGAACATTTCCCGACGCCACGTGGACGCGATTACGTGCTCGAAATAACGTTGATTCACTTTCCGTGACGACCGTGTTTTCGTTTCCAGTTTACGGTAATTAACGCGTCACGGTAAACGAACGGTGTTAGCAGCGTTGCAAGTAGAAGCGGAACGTCTGTGGTCAGACGCCGCACGCAACGAACGTAAACGAGACACGATCGCTCGATAACGTTTCCCAGCGGTCTCCGATGTTTCCCCGATGAATTAATGATGATTTTTGTTTCTTGGAAGAGAAAAGAAAAGAAAAGAGACCGAGGATCACTCGACGAACGCATCAGCCTTTCACAGTTCGTTCGTTTTCGTGTCGGTCCAAGTTCGATTTCCACCTCGGCGAGGAGACGCTCCGTAAAGCCGAAGGCTTTCTGTCCGTTTCCAGTCGTTTCCCTCGGAAATCACTGAAAGAGAATACCGAAAAGAGGGGGAAACAGAAGAAAACGAGATAAAAGAGGACCACCCGGCGGAACGTCGAGCGTGCGCTCGCTCGGATCCGTCTGTAGAACACGGGACGTGAAACGGAGAGAAGAAGGGAACTCCGATCGATCGATCGGGAACCGATGGAATCGACGAACGCCTCGATTCGCGGAGATTCCGATCGGAGAAGAGGAATTGGCTTGTGCATCGATAAGAAGCATTGGGTCGCCCTATAAATAATGCAGTTGTTTTATACTTGTCTTACCTTCGAATTCCTTTAATTCCTGAAAATGTACAATAAGCCGCATTATTTATGCTCCTTTTGTTTCTGAAAAGCTCTTGTTTTATTCTTCAAGATAAAGGAAAAAGATAAAGCCGAACGATGCATAGGGTGACCCAATAGAACTCACTGCGCTTCGCTTTCGCTTCTCTAACTTGTTTATCGTTTCGTTAACCTTTCCATGTAAATTCCGATGCCTCTGCTTAGAAATCATGTTTCTACTCTTTCCATTGATCTTTCGCTCTTCGAGGCAAGAACAATTGTAGACTCTGTAATTCCATTTTGCAAATTTCGTCTCTGTTCCATTCCAATTTTTACGTCTCATCCTCTTTCGCTATTTCTATTTCTATCTCTCTATCTTTCTATCTATCTCTATCTATCTATCTATCTTTCTCTCTATCTCTATCTTTCTATCTATCTATCTATCTAACTCTATCTCTTTCTCTTCCATACTTCCGATTTCTCACGAAGATGAGAAAAGAAAACGGAGAGGCACCATAGATGGTAGACGGCAAAAACAATCAAAAGCGATTGGAAAGGCAACAAAACCATACCAAAACAGACAGAAAAAAAAATAATACAGAATAAATAGAAAAAGTGATAAAATACATAAATAAAAACACACGAGGCAGCGCGACCGACACTTTTTATCATCCCGACCTTTTTTCGCTCGTCCCCCGGAGTATCTATCTTCTTACGTTGTTCTTTTTGTGTTTTGTTTTAGCACTGGCAAGGCCATGCTTGCCATTAACAAAGGCTTACAGAGGTCAGTATTTTTTTCGTTATCTACCGCCTTATCGCTCCCGTTTTCGTGGCCGGGTGTTTTTTCTTTTTTTCTTTACTATCCCCCATTAAAACCAACACCACCACCACCACCACTACCACCACTACCA